CCAGGCACCTGCAGCCCATACTCAAACCTGCTTTGGGGACTCAGACTGGGAGGCACACAGACTCTCTTCCATTTACACACGGCAGTGTGAGAAATTATGCTTTGAAGTAAGTGAGGCAAGTTGAGCTTAAAGAAAGACTGATACATGACAAGCGTTATAAATAAGAAAATTCCCTGAGTTTTAGAGTGTTTAAGAGTCTAACCACTCTCCTTTTCTACTTTCAGAAAGAGGTTGCTGATTTAGCTAAAGCATAAATCTCTGGTGATGCTTTGTTTGTGCTAGCTTCTGGAATGAGGGTGCCCAGTCTCCCTTGTATACTAGGGGGCAAGAATGTGTGTTTGGAATGGGAAAACCAAGATCACACTGTAGATTCTTTCAGTGATGAACATTTCCTGAGATGTCGTTTCTTTTAGTTTTTCTCAGTGTACAGGCATTTCTGAGCAAAGAATTGCATATGTGAGTACTAACCTATAAATATTTCTATATGTAGCATAACCATCAGTATCTATATTAAGTTAAACATTCGTTCTTATCGATGTCTCCAATGCTAAATCATTACCACATGGATCACACTAGCCTCCTCCCCTTGCTTATCCATAAATTCCCACTACAGGGGTGCACAGCCTGGCTCTCACTGTTAACAAAAAGTTATTCAGTAATACTTGTTACAACATGGTGAGGCAGAATTTATTTAGGACCACCATGATAGGTACAGAGACCACTGCAACAGGACTTTGCAGTGAGGGAGAAGAATCTAACTCAACTCCGAATACAGCATAAACAAGTGGAGATTTCTAGCCAAGGGGCAGATTAGGGGTCAGTGAATGGGAAATTACTAAGAGGAAACATCAGAACCAAGGGATATTCTGGCTAGACTGGCCAAACAGGATTCTTGCTGAAGACAGGTCAGGGTAATCAGACATCAATCACTTGGGGGATGAAAGAGGATGAGGAACCCAGTTAGATATGGAGTGTAATCAGGTATCAAGCGGAGGATGGCGAGAGTAGCAGGGGAGGGTGTGGTTCTTGCTAAACTGACCTGGCAGGATTCTTGTTAAGACTAGATTTTAGGCCGGGTGCGGTGGCTCAAGCCTGTAATCTCAGCACTTTGGGAGGCCGAGACGGGTGGATCACTAGGTCAGGAGATCGAGACCATCCTGGCGAACACGGTGAAACTCCATCTTTACTAAAAAATACAAAAAATTAGCCGGGCGAGGTGCCGGGCGCCTGTAGTCCCAGCTACTCAGGAGGCTGAGGCAGGAGAATGGCGTAAACCCGGGAGGTGGAGCTTGCAGTGAGCCGAGATCCGGCCACTGCACTCCAGCCTGGGCGACAGAGCGAGACTCTGTCTCAAAAAAAAAAAAAAAAGACTAGATTTTACAAGAAAATGCAGAGATGAGCTTAGGAGAAACTTCAAAAGCCTGACTAAAGTTTGGTCAAGCAAATAATTTTTGTCATCACCACCCATTATTCATTTACATCATAGTCCAATTCCATTAAACATGTACAGTGGTATCAGAATTGTTACTTGTAGCTCCATGAGAAAGAATTTTATCACTTAAAGCACATTGCTGTATAATGGTAATAATGTCTAGATTATGTTGAACTTCTATTATTCCACCTGTTTTGTATGTATTACATTAACTAATTCTCCTAATAATTATTTAAGACAACTATTAGAATAATTCATGTTGTAGTAGAGAAAACAGGCTGTGGGAGTTCAGGGGTTTGCTCAGTATTACTAACTTTGTGAGAAAATAGAGTTCATGGTCACTCATGCTCCAAACCACCAAGTATGGGCCCGTCTTACAGAAGCTATTAACAAGTCATGCTTTTGAAACGCTAGCAATTTTTAAAATTCTCTTTCTCTTTCTTTCTTTCTTTCTTTTTTTTTTTTTTGAGACAGAGTTTCGCTCTGTCGTCCAGACTGGAGTGCAGTGGCCGGATCTCAGCTCACTGCAAGCTCCGCCTCCCGGGTTCACGCCATTCTCCTGCCTCAGCCTCCCGAGTAGCTGGGACTACAGGCGCCGCCACCACGCCAGCTAAATTTTTGTATTTTTAGTAGAGACAGGGTTTCACCGTGTTAAGCCAGGATGGTCTCGATCTCCTGACCTCGTGATCCGCCCGCCTCGGCCTCCCAAAGTGCTGGGATTATAGGAGTGAGCCACCGCGCCTGGCCTAATTTTTAAAATTCTTAGCATGCATTTCTTCATCATTGAACTAGAGAAGAGTGTGATTATCACTCGTAGAAAATTAAAAACTGAAATTATGGTTTTATATGTATATTGCATTTGTAGGTAAATGATTAGAACTTGTTCTTCATTGGCTGATTTTCTGAAGCTGAAGATCTTTACAGTGAGAAGATACAGAAATTCAGGATGCTTCCCAAGAAGCATGCAGAAGCCTCTGTAAATCTCATCACTTATGGCTTAATCTGAACAGTGACTTGAGGAACAGTAATTTCAGGAATGCTGAAGACATTTTTGATCAGAATAGGAGTGATGCATAGGTTGGCTTAGGTTGCTTCATCTAGGGATCCTCATGGGGTTGGTTTAACTATGAGGTAAAATCTATAGGTTGATTAATTCTCTCATATTTAATTTTATATTCCTGAACATGGATGTAAAGCTAACTCAGTGTGAATTAGATTTATTATCCCTCCATATCCGGGAGCACCAATATCACATGCAGTATTTTTTCTGTTCTTTTTATGGCTTATATTGGTATAGGCAGGAAAAATTCCAAGATCCCTTTCGTAATGCATGTAGATGAGAATGAAAAGCAGGAAGGAATATCAAACATCACTCTTCATACTTAGGGTGTTCCATGCACATCTCGGGTTTCCACTCTAGAGCCTCAGCTACTCTGAATGGATAGTTTGCTGTGCATATTCATTGCTCACAGGCATCCAGAGCCTGTTCCCAAATTCAAAGCTGTAGCCACAGATCCCAGCAAAAGCGCAGGCGCATGACAGTTGCTGCTGTCTTCTAGCAGGGTGTAGAGAAATGTAGCTATGATGAATCATTTCATTTCAGTTTCAAAAAATATGGAAATTCAGGTGAATAATCAGTCCAGTTACTATATATCCCTGCTCTTAACAAAACTATTTCAAATACCTTAAGACAATAAATCAGTTTTTCTTATTTTCAGATATATTTAACATGATTTATAAATTATTGAAATCCATTATAAATTTCTGTTACAATGGACATTTTTCACTCTAACTGCTGTTACATTTACCCCATTTCACGTCTTGCATAATGGGGAGGGAATATATTAATGCTGCTTTTATCCTTCTAAAGCAACATAGAATCATACCAGAAAAAGGAACACTGCATCCAATGTCATCCCTGCCTTTTTGTTCAAGCTCTTCAGGCTGCTTCAACTTCCACATTTCATTCATTCCTACAGCTATCTATTTATATTCTTTTCTTATCTAGTATATTTGGGAAACAGCATTGGAAAAAGCTACTTTCTAGCATTTTTCTAGCCATAAGTGTGTTATATCTTCTAGAGCAAGTGAATCAACTTCTTAACATTTTATATCAGGACCTTCATCTGTAATGCAAGGACAATGATTTCCAGCTAACATTGTTCTCAAGTTTTATTCATCTTCCTCAATTAGCAATTGTTAACTGGGTGCCTGCTGAGTTCTGCATAAATGTTACATGCTGGGAAAAAAAGAGCTATGGAAAAATACGTAATATCTTCTTTCACTAAATGTGTAGTCTAATTAGTTATGTAGGCAACTAATCAAACAGAGTAAAGTGAAATGAGGCCAACCTTGGGAAAGCAAAGGGAGGTATGAAGGCATATGGAAAGTCCCACCTCCATCTTAGCCTTAGAGTTGAGTCAGGGGCAGCCTGGAGTATGTCTTGCCTATGCTGAGACCTAAAGGGTTAGTAGGAGTCAATCAAAGTTTAAAGACAGAGAAGGTAGAGAAGATAGAAACAGCATGCACAAGGCGACACAGAACATAATGAGCCTGAGGACTAAAAGCCAGAATGACGCTATAATTAAAATCATATATGTCATAAAATGTTCAAACTACCACTGCAAAGTAGTTGTACCTTAATTCTCAGTTTTATAAATGAGTAACCATAATATTTGTGGGGTTACCAAATGTGTTTTCTATTTACTTGAGATTTTACTTAATAAGGTTATTCATTTGATACCTATTATGTGTCTTAGACTCGAAAACAATAGATGCAAATGAGAAGAATAAGGGATTGTTTCTGCCTTCAGAGAACATGTAATATTACAGAGTATATTACAATATCATATAATAAAAGCTATCATAGGAGAAGCATAGAATATGACCATCTAACAGTGGCATTTAACTTGGAAACTTGAATGTAAGGGAAAACCACCTATGGGAGGTAGTATCTCAGTTAAGATTTGTAAAACAGTTAGCCAAAAATGGAGTCAGAGAAAGGGTATCACAGGAAAAGATAAATAGAATGTACAAAGACATGAAGTCAATATTTAGTTTAAGAGAATGACATTAAACTAATTCAGAATGGCCAGAGCATACAACTCACAATGTATATCGGTAAATATAAAACTAAAGCAATAAGCAGAAACCACTTTGTGAAAATAACGAAAAGCCATTATGAGATGTTCGTATATTACATTATCTTGAAGACAATGATGAGCACTCGAAGAAATCTGCACAAGTAAATAGTATCATGAAATGTCACCATTTGAACGATTACTCTGAGTTCACATACTTATATATTATATCCATGTGTGGGTATGTATATAAAATATATATGTAAAGTAAAAAATATATATACAATAAATTTTCCCTTGATACTTCCTTTTTCTCTTAATTCTGAAGTAATTCTTTCTGTAAAACAGTATATGGATAGGCCTTTCTTATAACCAGAAAAAAAGCCTATCCTAGATGAAAACTTACTCAAGAAAAGCCAAAATCCACAGTTTAATCAACATTCCTCAGTCTGGCCACAGGGGAGAGCTGTTTAAAAAGTATTCTAGACAGATGCATTTAGCTCTGTGCAGTTCAACTGTTGTGATGTGTCTCTGATTGGTTGCCCCCAAAGTTACAATATCCTGGAAACAATTACAACAGACCTTATTCTGAGTTCAAAGCAACTCCTACTAAGGAAGCCCATTCAGAAGCTGACTGGACATTCTGGCAGGCCGAGGATGGAGACTCTCCTGAAAGTGCTTTCAAGCATCTTGTTGTGCCCGTTGACCTGTGAGTACATGGTTCAGTCTGGGAGAGGTTGTGATATGACACCATCTTCATGACAATTAGCTTTCTGTCTTGGGAAGGGCCCTTTTAAGAACCAGACCTAAGAAGCAAGGAAAATGGACTGTAATTATGTGGTGATGCTTAATGTTTTAAATAAGGAAGGAAGGAAGAAAATCACCCTTCCCTTCATGAGACTGAGCGTCTCATTCGATTGTCTTTCTGATCAGGGGTGAGAAGCCAACAACCAGTGCAGAGTCCTCAAGCCGTGATCCTCCAAGAAGGGGAAGATGCTATCATCAACTGCAATTCCTCAAAGGCTTTATATTCTGTACACTGGTACAGGCAGAAGCATGGTGAAGCGCCCGTCTTCCTGATGATATTACTGAAAGGTGGAGAACAGAAGAGTCATGACAAAATAGTCGCTACATTTAATGAAAAAAAGCAGCAAAGCTCCCTGTACCTTATGGCTTCCCAGCTCAGTTACTCCGGAACCTACTTCTGTGGCGCAGAGACACAGTAATACCCAGGCCTCCAAGACCTGTACTCTAACCTAAAGCTGAGCCACAGGTGCTCACCTAGCACAGACGCTCACCACAGGAGTATGGGGAACTTACCAGAAGGCTCATCCGTGCTAAAAGACAAACCTAAAGGAAATTCAGTTGCTTCAATATATAACACAAAAAGCAAGTAATGGCCTTGAGATCATATCTAATTTGGCATTGTTTTCTTGATAATTATTTAATTGCTCGGTAATTATATGACAGATAACTTAGATTCAGAGAAAATTACATAGATTTCAGTTTCAAAAACCAGAGTGAATTACTATTTGACTGAAGCTACACATATAAACTCCTTTTGGATCTCTGCATTCCTATCTGAAAGTGAAAAGTAACCTCTCTTTCTTCTCCTAGGTACCCACAGCTTGTCAATAGAAAGACAGCAAAAAAAAAAAAAAAAAATTGTCTGGTTCCTTCTTGGACATGAGGATTGTACATGGTAAGTATTTAGATTGTTAATCTTGTTACTTATCTAGAAAGGCCACTAGCAGTATTTTTCCCAAGGTTTTAAATATCTGTTTTGGGGAAATGGCATTTAGAAGTACTTCAATTTTATATTGGCCTTGCCTTCTCTTCTCATTGTGCTTTATTCTGATTGATTTCCAGTTTTACCCAAGGAACCTTGAGTTATCTTACCAGTTTGCCCAAAGGTCAAGATCCTTCCTCAATTGTTCCCTTACATCAACCCAGCACAACACTTCATGTAGGAAACACTCAACAAGTTTTGATTGATTCATATATTGATAAGAATTGAGAATGGCCAGGTGTGGTGGCTCATGCCTATAATCCCAGCACTTTGGAAGGCTGAGGCGGGTGGATCACTTGAGGCCAGGAGTTCAAGACCAGCTTGACCAACATGGCAAAACCCTAACTCTACTAAAAATACAAAAATTAACCAGGCATGGTGACACACACCTGTAATTCCAGCTACTTGAGAGATTGAGGCATGAGAATCACTTGAACCTGGGAGGTGGAGGTTGCAGTGAGCCAAGATCACACCACTGCACTCCAGCCTGGGTGACAGAGTGAGACCCTGTCTGAAAAAAAAAGAAAAAGAAAAAGAAAGAAAAAACAAATGAAATAATCACACATAGAATTCCTTCCACAAGATGAGTCTTCCACAAACACTCTACGGCTTGCTTAAATCTTTAGTCTTGTCCTATCAGTCTACCCTAGAACAAGAATTTAATTTTTCAACTTTCTACATTCATTTAGTTTTATCCATCGTGTTTTTAATCAAAAAATTTTTAAATTAATTTTTAAAACCTTAATTTAAAAAATTAATTTAAAAAGATCTCCATGCTGGGAAATAATTACTTTCTCTTTAACAGAAGCCAGATTCCCATGCCTTCTTAGAAGCTTTTTATCAAAAACACAACAACTTTATACACTTTGCCTCTAGAATGGCTTCTCTTATAGCTAGTAGTTTGTTGTTGTTGTTGTTTGGTTTGGTTTTGTCTTGTTTTGATTTTGAGGCGGAGTTTTGCTCTTGTCACCCAGACTGGAGTCCAGTGACGCAATCTCAGCTCACTGCAACCTCCGCCTCCTTGGTTCGAGCAATTCTCCTGCCTGAGCCTCCTAAGCAACTGGGATTACAGGCACACACCACCACACCTGGTTAATTTTTTGTATTTTTAGTAGAGATGGAGTTTTGCCATGTTGGGGAGGCTGGTCTTGAACTCCTGACCTCAGGTGATCCACCTGCCTCAGCTTCCCAAAGTAATGGGATTACAGGTGTGAGCCACCGTGCCTCGTCATAGCTAGTATAATTACATATATTAATTATAATGTTACTTCTTAGTAACTCTTAGTGAAAAACTGAGGAAGTAAGTAACTCTAATTAAGCACCAGATACAGAGTCCAAGACAAAGGACAATCCCTGGAGCTAGGCTTCACCATATCCTAAAGGCCCAAATCCAAAAACATAGTTTATAGACAAGTTAAGTGTCAAAAATTGTCATAAAAACACATTTTATGATCTTAAAACATCTAGCAGAGATAATATCTGAACAATAGTCCTATGGACTCAGACAAAATGTCTAAATTCTGAAGAGGTTTCTATTTTATTTCACCAATAATTTTTAAATTGTCTTTATGTGTTAAAGATTACTAAAGTCACATGAACTTGAAGGTGTTCAGGTTAAGGTTTCTATTTTTCTCATAAAATATTTAAGTGCTTACTTTTTCTGTAAGCCAATTAATTAGAGCTCTTTCACACATTTTGGTAGTGAAACATCACATACACATAATGCATATAAATATATAGACACACAGACAGACAGAAGCAGATCTTATAGAACTATACGATTTATTTACCAGTTTTAAATAGTTGCTTTTATTCACTATTCCAATTACCTATTTTATTGCTCTAGGCAACTGTTAGCTAGGCAACCCTAAATTTGCATTTCTAAAGTGATAACTCTCCGGTGAAATGAGATAGAGGATTTGCATCTCGAAATATAGAGAGAGACAGGGAATTTAAGCTTTTTAAAGTTGGTTGTGTTAGAGGAAGATTGAAAACATGGATGCCAAGATAACACAAAATTATATAAATTTATCATAGACTTTTATAAGGTGACCAATTTCATTTAGATAGGTGTTTTTAATTGAGTCTCTTTTTTCTATCTGGACCATTGAATTCAAAGCATAACTCACATTAAATCTTGGATCGCCCAAAAGAGGTAAACACCGTGGGGATTAGGACATGCCATGTTTTCACTGTGCATTTCGCTGCAAATACATTCCGCCTGAGGCTGGTGGGCAACCCACTGCCAATCAGCCCCCTCTGTGATCAGCCCATTCCTGAGCCATTATACACACCAAAGGCAAGTTTTTCACAATAAAAAGAAATTTCGAGTAACTCCAGAAGCAAAAATTTCTGGTAGTGCAATGCAAAGGAAAGCAGAGTTTTAGATCTGAGAGGATCCTATCCATTTTCAACTCTTGGAATTCCCTGAGGAAAAAAAATAGCAGTTTCTCCCATAAATGCGTCTGTGGCACCTTTTCCGTTTTTTCTTAAGGAATCCCAGGCTGTTAGAGTTGCTTATTTTATTTGTTTGTTTGTTTTTGTCTTCTTATGTGGCACTGAGGGTGGCAAGAGGAAGGAAAGGGCAATGGAAACAGAGAGACAGAGGGAGTGCACACGACTAGCAGGGCTTTAAGAAGAAATTCAGTTGCCTGAGAAATTTTTAGAGAGAAAGAACAGAGGCCTTAGATCAGTAAGTAAATACATACAGAGCCTAAATATCAGTTTTAATTAAGTCAACTTTTGACTATACAAACCTTTAAAGAAATCCTTTCAAATCTCTTAGTATCAGATTTTAGCTGAGACAAACAGTTGATATTTCTGACTTTTGAACTTCTTTACCAAAAGATATCCCCCCAAGTGCCTCAACCAAGGTTATTACATAACCATGGGTACACAAGCTGTCTCCAAAGAGTTGGCGAGTATATTTTAACAAGATCAAGAATCACCCCAAAGATGGCTCAGCGAAGGAAAGTTTCATTACCAATAAATGGGGTATAAGCCATATTTCTGTCAGGCCATGTTTTTAGAGTCTTACTTTCTCAGTTGACCATCTGCACACTAAGGGAGGAGACCACCCCTCATATTGTCTTATGCCCAATTTCTGCCTCCAAAGAAAGAAGAAGTAAAAACTAAAAGGCAGAAATGAAATTCACAAGCAGACAGCCCGGTGCCACACCATGGGCCTGGTAGTTAAAGATCAACCCCTGACTTAATCGGTTATGTTATCTACAGATTACAGACATTGTATACAAAAGCACTGTGAAATCCCTGTCCTGTTCTGTTTCATTCTAATTACTGGTGCATGCAGCCCCCAGTCACGTACCCCCTGCTTGCTCAATCGATCACAACCTTCTCACACAGACTCCCTTAGAGTTGTGAGCCCTTAAAAGGGAGAGGAATTGCTCACTCGGGGAGCTCGGTTGTTGAGTCTTACCGAAGCTCCCAGCTGAATAAAGTCCTTCCTTCTTTAACCCAGTGTCTGAGGGATTTTGTCTGCGGCTTGTCCTGCTACACATACAAAAGCCCCAAAGCCTCATGTACCCTCAAAAGATGAAAAAAGACAAGAAACGTAAAGCTAAGGAAGTGGGAAAGATCAATAATAAATTTCATAATCATGAAATTTACCAGAAGATGCCAATGGGAAGATTATTTTCCTCATTTATCAGCAAACAGATGCAATAACCAATGCAACACAGGATCAATATTCAGTGAGCTTCCAGAAAGCAACTAAAACTATTCAGCTTTTCATATCATCGTCTGAGACAACAGAAATATGTTGCAGAGTCTTCTGGCTGTGACAATGATATGAAAGCTGAATAGTTTTAGAACCCACTGTGAAGAAAATGTTAGAAGAGCCTTACAAAAAGGTGAGAACTCAACCTGAGACAATTGCCTATTCCCACATTCTCAGGAAAAACTCACAAACCTAACCCAGGCATTTGTTAGCAGCTGGTGGTTAGGGTGCATAAGATAAGACCTAGAAAGGAAGTCATTTAGTTCATTCCAGGAAGCACACCCTCACAACTGCCTTAGAAACCATACAGGACCACATGTAAAGGCCATACTGCTCGGATAACATCACGTCTCTATTTCTTCCCATGGAGTATGCCATTTAAAAAAGCAACATGTGAAACATGGAATTTTAAAGCTATAATTGATTGTACAGGACTTTATATCTGCTCAACTAAGTCTCTTGAGGAGAACAGTATGGAAGACACTAGGAAAAAAAACCATGCATACAAAATAAAGATTTTTATGGCAGGATCCTTAAAGACTGGCCAGAGAGATGCAATCTTGGTGAGACTATAGACTGGAGTACTTTGGACTATGTAGAACAGCAGCCTATTCTGGATCAGATGCATTTTTCTATCTCCTTGGCTAAACTTCATTCTAATCCTTGCCAGCTCCAGCTTGGCTTATCGTGATTTTTTATTCTCATGTGCCTTGCAGCTGGGTCTGCTAGTTGGGTCTTCCCTACAGTCACATGCCTACAACAGAGAAAGGAGGTATGTGGGGGAGACACTGCTACAGATGTTAGGATCTGTAGTTAAACTTGTAGCCACCTAATTCGTGGAAACTCCAGAAATGAGACTGTAGCTTCTAAATCCCATATTTCTTTTTTTTTTTTTTTTTTTTTTTTTTTGTTGGGGTCTCCTTTTTCCCCC